CTGGTCCAGCACCTTCCATAGTCTCTGGTTAATACGTAGGTGATGGGTTTATGCATCCTGACCCAGAAAAGAGCTAATCACAGTCATCCCACACGATGCAGGGGACATAATTGCACAGGTAAATGCAGGTGGAAACTGTCCATTCCCATGGCCCTTCAGCCCCTTTTTGATGGCAAGGGAACTTGTTTTCTTCTGTTCAGATGAAAATAACAGTTGACACTAGCCATATGATGAAGGAAACACTTACACAGCTGGGTTTACTGCAGGCTGGGCACTGTTCTTAAACACTTCACTTGCATTGCTTGTATAATCCCATGAGGCAGCTACAATCTTTAGCACAAATTCACAGATGAGTGAGCTGTTGCTCAGTGAGGTAAGTAACTTGCACATATTTACATGGCTAGTGAGGGGCACGGCCAGGACTCTGACCCAGGCCTTCTCACTCTAAAGTCTGCAAACTTGTCCACTATTCGAAGGGGATGGTTTGCCTTTGAGGTGGTGGGCTCCCCATCCCTGTGGGTGGCAAACATCAGTCACTGAGCTAGACAGAGGTCTCTTCCAGGTATTTAGTGTGCCTTCTGTATCTACTCAGAGCTGAGCACTCTGCCAACATCATCTCACGTCATGCTCATACCACCCCTGCCACCTAGAAAAATCACCCCATTTTACAGATGAACACACTGAGATTAGAGAGATCGTGTAATGGCTGAGGTCTCCAGACTGGTGAGGGCTGGAGCTGAGAATCCAGCAGGCCTGTCCAACCCCGATCCTGAACTCTTCACTTCTTACCATTGATGGTTTCCAAGGAATTAAACTTCAGGAGGGCTGGGTTGGACTAGTCAACTGTGAAGGTCCTGGCTGATCTGACACATAAAGGGACAAACTCTTGAACAGAGCTGCTATAACTAGCTGCTATGCCAAAAATTTTAGTCATCACATTTCAGATTTTATATTTAAGAAAATATTTCTCTTCCACAGCTGTCCCCCACCCTCAACACTCTGCCATGTTTCTGCTGAAAAGTTGCCCAAGGANAAATTTTAGTCATCACATTTCAGATTTTATATTTAAGAAAATATTTCTCTTCCACAGCTGTCCCCCACCCTCAACACTCTGCCATGTTTCTGCTGAAAAGCTGCCCAAGGATGCCCAGNTCTGCTGAAAAGTTGCCCAAGGATGCCCAGCCGGGCGTGGCTCAGTGGTTGAGTGTCGACCTAGGATCCAGGTGATCAGGGTTTGATTCCCGGTCAGGGCACATGCCTGGGTTGGGGGCTCGATCAATGACTCTCTCATCATTGATGTTTCTATCTCTCTTTCTCCCTCTCCTTTCTTCTCTCTGAAATCAATGAAGATATATTTAAAACAAAACAAAACAAAAGCTGCCCAAGGAGCAAAGTGGACCCTTAGGATGTCTGCTCTCTCTGTGGTGGTATCAATGCCCTCTTGGCCTATGAAGAGACAGTAACCATCTTTCCTGGTGGTACCACCATCTGCCCTCATCCAGGGTCCCCATCTGACAACCTAGACCAGCATCAGCACACCAAACAGGTCCCCACCATTGACCCCAGAGGTCAGTTTTAGGTCTGCCTTGCTGGCCTGGTCTGCACATTTGGCACAAGGGTCAGCTGCTCCGTCATTCACATTCTTCCCTTGGCTCCCAAGCCACACCTCTTGCCTTTTAGCCAACCCCTCCCTTCCTTGGCAACTTATCCCTTCTAGTCTCTTGGCTCCAACCACCATTCATCAGTGAGATTTTCCAATTTATATCTCAGCATGGATTTCTCTGAATTCCGGACTCACAAGCCTGACCACCTACTTGACATTTCCTTGGATGTCTAATAGGCATTTCAAATTTAGTACACCCCATAATTAATTCTTAATCTTCAACCCTGCCCCTACTCCCCTCCTGGCCTTCCTAGTTGAGGGCCACTCCACCTTTCCAGGTGCTCAGGCTCTGACCCTTAGAATCATCCCGAACTGCCCGTTTGCATCTCACCTGTCAACAAGCCTGTTGGCTATACCTTCAGGCCAAAATCCAGCCAATTCTCACCACTCCCCCCACTACCTCCCTGGATTAGCATCTCTCAGCCACCTCAAGAGCATCAACCTTCTCTCTTTGTCTAATTTAACACAGTAGCCAGAGTATGAAGATGGAGCAGATCATACCTCTCCTCTATTGCAAACTCCCCAGTGGTTTCCTCCCAGTGGAACACAAACCTCACTGGGCCCTCTGGGCTCACCC